TGGTGGTTTTTTCAGAAATGACAGATCTGCATTGCTGAATATCCACTCTTTAATGCAGATACTGGTATTTATGGGTTTGCTTTTTCAATTGTTGATTCTTAAAAACATGTAAACCCTTAACATAAACCCCCAAATAAAGAACAACCTGCAAACTCCCTCATTTTAATGTTTTTTTTTTTTTTTAAACAGTTTAATATTAAGGCTGTTTGGTAGTATTCAGAACTATCACTGTACAGTAATGGTGGTTTTCCTGATTGATTTGTAGTCTTATAATAATTCCAAGAAGTGTAAAACTGTTGTCAAACAAGTAAGACCGCATTTATGCATCCGTCATTTTCAGGATTATTGGTAACCTGGGCATATTTCCCTGATGGGGAGAAAAAAAAAAGATGTGAGAAATGTTAGCTAATAAAAATTAAATATAATTTCACTTTGGGTGCTGGGGATCAAACCCAGGGCCTTGTATATGCTGGGCAATTGCTCTAACACTGAGTTATATCCTAGCCCCCAAATTTAAAAAATATAAAATTAAACTCTTAATTATAATATTCCTAAAATACATCTAATAACCACTTTTATTAAATATGAATAGAATAAGATTTTTAAGTCATTCAAGACCAAGTTGTGTTCTGAGTATAATTTTCTTAAAATATTTTTTTAGTTGTCAATGGATATTTCATTTATCCATCCACATATTTATTTATTTATAAATAGTAATTGGCTCTATTCTATTAGTTCATTGCATTAATACGCCTCTACTTTTCTGACTCTTCCTTAAAAATGCACCATGTTGAGATCAGTTGCCAACATGAATTATGAACCAATTACAAGAATTTCAGGTATATTCTTCCCTTTTGAAGAACATCACAGTTTAAAGGTACTTTAAGCACTAAAAAGAGTTTAAAATTGCTGCATGACAAATTACCCCTTATTTAAATGAAACCAATAAGCTCAATTTTAAAACTTGCTATATAAAGTAGTGTTCCTAAAGATTTACATAAAGTTTTAGCTCACATAGCTCTTCCACATTAAAAACGTGTGCTCTGTACTATCAACTTGAAATGTAGAACACCAATAGCTCCATATTCAAAAATTGACTTACCCCAAATCACTTTGCCTCCTTGTGTTACAAGGCCCAACTCGCTGACATTCACCTCAATGACTGTACCTTTGGTAATAACACCCAAAGTTGTATACAGT